AGACCAGGGGAAAGTCTGTAGTCCCCAATCATCTGGAGAGGCAGGGCTGACATCCTGGCTCAGACCCTGAGGGGAGACCACAGCATGGCATCTGCAGGGGTCTGTGCCCTGTGTGTGTGCTGCTGGAGCGAGCACTGGTCAGTGCCCTGGGATCACTGGCCCTGGGCTGCATGTCAGGCCCACACTGAGAGCAGGATGAGGGTGGGGTCACTAGGCCTGGGTCCTCCAGCCCCACGTTCCCCAACATCCCCTACCCTCCCACCTCACTCCCACTGTCTGGAAGGGGTGGGGCCGGTCCTCCAAGGTGCCTGGAAATCTGGCCTCCTTTAAGACCACTGGGTGCCTTCTAAAGTAGCACAGGATGCTGCTGAGGGCTTTGCGGCCCCACTGAGCCACAAAACTAGCTCTGTGTCCTCAGCAGAGGGTGATCCGGGGCCACTGGGCCAGACCCTCCGTGCAGGTCTTGGGTGCCCTCTAGTGGCACTTTGCTGTGTGACGTCTCCAAGTAAGCGCTCAGGTGGCGGCGCCTTTCCCCACCCCCACTGTCCTCCCTCTCCATCCCCCCCACAACCCACCCTTTGCATCATCGAGTGCATCTCTCCCCATGTGTGTGACTGCTCAGACCACTCTGAACTCCAGTCCCAGGCATTATTAGAACAGATCAGAGAAGAAAAGCCATGGCTTTTATAGATGACTTTGAGATTCAGTACAGGGGTACTGACTGACTGGTCAGACTCCTCATCCCCAGCCCCAGGAGTACCTGAACCTCATCACTCCTAAAACCACCCCAACCCCTGCCACTCTGATCCATGTACAGTGTGCCCAGACATGGGGTTGTGTGAGGGTGATGTTAATGATCAGATTTTTGTGGCTTCTTTCTGGATCAACACCGTAGTGGGAGGATAGCGTAGAGGCGGCTCCGCCCAGCCTCGGACCACTGAGTTCTCTGAACTCTGGCCCTTGATTTTTTGCTGCCCTCCCACCTCTGCTTAAGCTTAATGAGATGGGTGGGGGTGCTAAAAGACCAGATGTACGGATTAGGATTTCAGGATGGGGGTCAGAGCATACCAAGATGGGGAGCATGGGCAGGGGGCTATTAACAAGTTAAAAGATAACCTGGCTACAACGTCAGCTGCAGAAGGGGGAAGACAGAGTAGCCGCAGTTGGAGGAAAACTACCTCATGGAGTCTTAGTCAACCATAAGGAACATATAAATCACCGGTGGAAGATAGTTGTTTAGAAAGCCGAGGAGATGGGGCGCCTGGGTGGCTCAGTCGGTTAAGCGTCTGCCTTCAGCTCGGGTCATGATCCCGGGGTTCTGGGATCGAGTCCCATGTCGGGCTCCTTGCAAGGAGTCTGCTTCTCCCTCTGCTGCTCCCCACCCCCCACTCATTCTCTCACTCTCTCTCTCTCTCAAATAGATAAATGAAATCTTAAGAAAAGAGATTCTTAAAAAAAAAAAAAAAAAGAAAGAAAGAAAGCCGAGGAGATGTGGAACAAGGGCACAGGCAGACTCGCTCACCACCACCTGGAGTGTTGAGCTCGATTACAGGCCTATAGATCGATGGTAAACTCGAGCAGGTTGAAGGACCAGGCCGACTCGTGGCAGGAGGCGATGTGTACCTTCAGTGCAGCTCTTTTCCTCCTGAGAAAGGGCATGCAGACGCAAGGAGAGAGCTCGGGATTATTCTGAGGACCCCAGAGGAAAGGCAAGGACCAGTGGGGTGGACGCACAGAAGGTTCTGGTTCAATAAAAGAACTGTGCAGCCACTCACCAAGAGTGGGAGGGGGTGGGCTCCCTGTCACTGGGGATGTAAGAGCCCGACAGCCACTCTCGGCTTCCCGTGAATAGACTTTTCATAACATTGAACAATGGTGTATGATAGCATCAGTCCTTTATACACAGAGAATCTAAGAGTCCATCATAAATTATTGCCTTTCATTGTAGAACAACAGCTACTATCATCATTAATGAGTTTGCTACTCATGCATGACCGTAATGGGCTTGTGCTCCTGCATTCTGATGTCTGCTGGGTTGTCAGGCATTAGGGAAGCTCTTCCTGCTTCCGTGTGGAAGCACCATCACTCCCCAGATCACAGGAGCCCAGACCATTGTCTGCCTCAAAGGCCAGGCCAAGAGAGCAGGGCCAAGAGAAATAGGGTGCCCATTCCCTCTTACCTGAGGCCTGCTTTCCACATCCCCGGATCCTACCAAAATGTCCCTTCTAACTGGTGAGTGACTCTGGGGATGCGTACCTCTTACCCTTAGGCCTGTGGCTTTACCTTGGGCCTCTGTAGGACAACTCCATCCTGGACACAGTTCTTTGATGAGATACCCTCAGTGGGTATCTGTTCTAAAGACAAATAGATTCACAAATATATCTTCAACTTGACTTTGCAAGTTTGTTATTGGTAGTGCATGGATGTAGAAATTCTAAAACCATTTTGTGTCTATTTAATATTGAGCAAATGAGTGACTATTTTGATATTGTGGAAAACCAGAGATCTCACTATGAGAGAAGGAAGATGCAAATATGGAATGGGAAGAAGCAAGAACCCTGTGGTGTAGGATTTTATCTACATCTATAAACAGATGGTAGAGAGACAAGGATAGATACATAGAATGATGATGGATGGATGGATGGATGGGTAGATTAGATAGATAGATAGATAGATAGATAGTAGATTAGATAGATAGATAGATAAGGAAGGAAGGAAGGAAGGAAGGGCCTAGAAGTAAAGATACCGCACATCTAGAGCCCAGATCTTGGTTTCTAAATATCATTCTCCACCAAAAAGAACCAAGACTCCTCAGAGAAATGGCTGAATCTGAGGCTGGGAAAAGGAAAGCACAAAGAAGTAGAAGTACTTTTTGTGCCAAGACATAGGAAAGTGCTCCCAAAAAGTGTGAGGATGTATTGGAAAAACACATGAGACTGCACATGGGAGTTTCCGACTGACCAAATCTGGGAAAATTTGTGCATCAAAATGAATGATAGTAATGGAAATGAAAAAGGAAGCCCTAAATGCATACTGATATACATAAATAAATGGGAGGAAAAGAAAGATCTGTTTACAGTGGTGTGCCAAGTATTTAAATGAAATGATAGAGTTAAAAAAAAAAAAATCACCTGGGCGCCTGGGTGGCTCAGATGGTTGAGCGTCTGCCTTCGGCTCAGGTCATGATCCCAGGGTCCTGGGATCGATTCCCGCATCGGGCTCCCTGCTCCTTGGGAGCCTGCTTCTCCCTCTGCTTCTCTCTCTCTCTCTCTGTCTCTCATGAATAAATAAATAAACTCTAAAAAAAAAAAAAATCACCATTTTTCAGCCACCAAAGGAATGTGACTCAGGTAGAAACCATCACTGGATGCTGAAACCACTGAGTTGACATTTGTGGGGAAACGGGACACTCACACAGTCTCAAAGTATCTCCCACAGAGTATTTATTAATTACAAGGGGGAAATGGTACCTTTGAAGTGGTGAGATCTGGCAGACATCACTGAACCAAATGATCACAGTTAACATCACCAGTAATGGGACAGAGTGCCATCAAGTGCCACTGAGATGAAGCTCCAAAGAAGCAAAAACATCACTTTACATAGGATTCCCACCATGAATGCATAACCCAAATCTAATCATGAAAACACATCAGACAAACCCAAACTGAAGGACATTCTATCAAATAACTGAACCAGATTCTTCAGAAATACACATGACATAGAAGATCGAAGTAGGCTGAGGAACTGTCGAAGATTAAAGGAGACTAAAGACGTGACAAGTAAATGCAGGACATTGTCCCAGATTGGACCCTGCTTTGGAAAAACCACAATTGTCTTAAAGGACATTATTGAGTCAATTGGCAAAATTTGAAAATTGATAGCATATTAGATACTGTATCAGTTAAATGTCCTCCATTTGGTAAGTATATGTGGTTATATAAGAGAATCTCCTCATTCTTCTTTTTTTTTTTCTTTTATTTATTTATTTGAGAGAGAGAGAATGAGAGACAGAGAGCATGAGAAGGAGGAAGGTCAGAGGGAGAAGCAGACTCCCTGCTGAGCAGGGAGCCCGATGCGGGACTCAATCCCGGGACTCCAGGATCGTGACCTGAGCCGAAGGCAGTCGCTTAACCAACCAGGCGCCCCGAGAATCTCCTCATTCTTAAGAAATACTTGCTAGGTATTTAGGAGTGAAAGGTCAGGATGTCTGCAACTTACTCTTAAATGGTTCAGAAAAAACATATGTAGAATATACTTTTTTTTTTTTCATTCTCTGGGTGTGTTTTTCTCCTCTTTCCACCATGTGGCTGATTCTTGCCCAGAGTTTCCCAGCTCAAATTCCTGAGAGAGACCATGTTTGGGTAGGGTCCTCTCCACCATCCCTCTTTGAGCAGAACACCACACTAGAAAACCTCGTAAGTCTCTGACCAGACTCTGGATTGGCTACTGTGGGTCAAGTACCCACCCTCTATCCAATCAACTTTGGCCCAGGATAGGTCATGTGGAATAAAACATGGCTGCCCCCATTGTTCCCTCACTGGGGGTGATGGGCAAGAAGGTCTCCTTAGAAGAGCTCGGCAGGCCCCAAGGGTGGCTCAGCCAGCAGTTATTGGAGTTAATCCCAGAGACACCTGAAGGCCTCTTGACATAACTTGTGCCTTATTCTCACCTTCATTCTTTCAACAAACATTACAGATGCATGCTCTGGACCAGGTCTCATGCTAAGTACTAGAAGCACAGGAAGTGACCCACTCTCCACCCTCAGGAGATCTGACTCATGTTTGAAAGGCATGAAGAACACAGATAACTAGAGTGCAGGGCTGAATCATGACTGACAAAGAGAAAGCAGCCTTGTGGGAACATAGAAGAGGGGTCCAAAAGGCCTCCTGGACAAGGGACTGGCTGTAGCTCACGGGAGGGCAAGTGGCCATCAGATGGGGCCCTGGCTGCTGAAAAGGTGCCCAGTGCCATCCCTGGGTTTCTGTTTTCTCTTTGCACAGCCGGACCCAGCAGGACGAGACATCTCTATCCGCCCACTCCTGGAGCACTGTGAGAACACCCACATGACCATCTGGCTTGGCATCGTCTATGCCTACAAGGGGCTTCTCATGGTAGGTGTGGAGAAGAAGGCAGAGGTTGGGGGGCCGCTTCTCTGTCAGAGCTCTGTCTCCCAGGGGCCTCTGTGAACATAAAAATAACAGAGCCCCCAGGACAAAGCACTTACTAACTGCCAGGCCCCGTGTCTGCCACGTGTTCTCTCGATTCCCACAACAACCCTCTGAGATGGGTGCAGATAATGCCCCATTTCACTGATGAGGATGCTGAGGCTTGGTTTGCCCGAGGTCACTCAGTAGTGAGAGGCAGATTCAAGAGCTTAACCACAGAGTAACCCCAAAACCTGTGAGAGTGCCTCAGGGCAGCCACCGTAGCGCTCCCAGAACGGCAGCCTGTCAACATCCAGCGCACGTTCACATCCCACATCTTACTGCGTTCTCTCAAAATCTGTGGGAGGTGACTGGAATCATCCTCGTCTTACAGAAGTCAGGCTCAGAAAGGTTAAAGGGCACTCGTAACCTCCAACCTCCGAACCCAGTACTCTTTCCACTCCACCCATCTGTTAGAATCAAAGATCACATACCAAGCCCGCCCCACACATCTGGAAGGACTTGAAAGGGCAGCCACACCCCACCTTATCCCATTTTGACCCCTGAATCTTCTCTCCAATCCTATGCAAACTGTGCCTCCACTGAAATCCCTCCAGGGACAGGAAACCAGCCCCCATTCCCCCCTCAGGTCTTTCCGCAGGCAAGCTGAGCCACCATTCGCTTCTGTGTAGCCTCCACTTAGAGGCCAAGAATGAAGCCTTCTCCAAAGGTCAGATAAAGAGGGATTTCTTGTACTGCTCAAATGCATCCTCACCTTCTGCTGCTTCGGAGAACTGTTTCTGAGGGGCCACACCAGAAGGGCATGTGTTAGGGGACCCTAGGCAGAGATTGTCCCCCACTTTATACTAGTTGAGACTAGTTTCCCTAGGGATTCTATGAGGACCAGTGGGCTGCACTCTGGGCCCCACAAGGTAATGACCCTGAAGGTGTCCACAGGAGGTACCCAGAGTGGAAATGGGACTTTGAGGACTGGCCAGTGGCCCTGGGCTTGGAGAAGGGCACTAGGGGACATGGTCACTGGAGCTGTCAGAGACAGGTGGCATAGACCCGAAGGCAGATCCGTCATCAGAGGGCAGCTTTCAAGTCCACATTAGAGAAGGATTTTGTACAACAGAGCAGTGGCCGCCCGTGTGGTGGCGCCCCCTAGGAAGGAAGGCGCTCCCTTCACGGGAAGCAAGCGGTACCCATGACTTGAGGCCCCCAGCCCTTGCTGAATAAAGAGAGTGAAACCAGACTCTCCAGGACCCCTCCCGCTCCACGCTCCCTGATCTGAGACTGTGAAATTAGATTATGGGGAATCCAATTGACTATCTAAGCTGCGTTCATCTGTAATGTTTGACCATCCGTTATCTTCGGCACTTACTTGCAAAAGTGGTTGGAGATGACCACATCTCTTCCAGTGAAGCTAGAACCTCCAGCCAGATGGGGCAGTAAAAGCTGAATTTGGCAGAACAAGTGCCTTACTGTTTCCAGTGTGCACAAGGAATTGTCCTCCGCCCTCCTGGCTCTTAGGGTTTGTGGACTAAAATTCTAGCTCCTAGTGCCTGCCGCTCTGAAACCACAGAATTTGAAGGCTGGAGAGAGTATGCCCAGCCCTGTAGGCCCACTCCCCTGTCAGAGTTTCAGCACTTCCAGCCCCCGCTGGGCATCCCCGACAAGCATTCCGTCACTCACCGCTGCCATACCTCCAGAGATGGGGAGCTCACCCGCCTCAGAGTGGCTTGTGTCACCCGTGGATGGTGTATCAGTGTCCTGTGGCTGCAGGAACAAATCTCCACAAACTGGTATACACAGACGGGCTTGAAACAACACACTTTTATTCTCTCACAGTTCTGGAGGCCAGGAGTCGAAAACCAAGGCTGAGCTGTGCCCCCTTCAAAGGCTCTAGGGAGAATGCCTTCTTGCCTCTGCACGGCGGCTGATGGCTCCAGGCATTCCTTGGCTTGCGGCCACATGGCTCCAATCTCCAGCTCCGACTTCACATGGCCATTTCTCCTCTCCACGTCTCTCCTCTGTGGGTCTCTTATAAGGACACTTGTCCTTTGAATTAGGGCCCACCTGGATAATCCAGGCTGATCTCATCTCAGGACCCTTAGTTATATCTGCAAAGACCCTTTCTCCAAATATGCAGTCCCCGTGGATTCGGATATGGACATATCTTTTAGGGCCACCGTTCAACCCACTATAGTTGGGTTGCTTTTCTAGAAGGTTCTTCCTTATCCTCAACTAAAATCTGCCTTGATGTACCTTGTGCCCATGAACCCTCATTCTACTCCTTGAAGGCCTAAGAACAAGCTGCTGTCCGTTTCCTCCTGACACGCTTCAGAGATTGGCAGCCAACCACCAGGTCCCCAGACTTGCCCACATTTTACGATGGGTAGAGACTCTCGTGATGGTTTGGTGTGGGCCCCTGGGCAGGGCCAGCCTCTGCCACTTCCCCTGGAAGACATGGACGGCCAGGCCCGGCTGGCACAGCCCCCACTGTGGGACTGAAGGGAACACACATGAAGAAACCAGCACAAAGCAGGCTTTCAACACCCGCTGGACTCTTTCTCTCCTAGGTATCTGCTTCCTGGGCTTCTGGCTCCCCATTTTAAAAGACATCTTTAAAAAATACATCAGTCTAGGGCGCCTGGCTGACTCTGTCAGTGGAGCGTGTGACTCTTGATCTTGGGGTTGTAGGTTTGGACCCCACATTGGGTGTAGAGATCACTTAAAAACTTTAAAAAAAATTTTAAATAATAATAATAATAAATCTGTCTGTGAGATAATACGCTTAGAGAAAAAGAGAGGAAAGCAACCATGGTTGTATATATAATACCATTTAACAAAATAACTTTTAGCCAACTCTTATACCGGGCACTTCGGTTTACAAAATGCTTTCAGAGCCATCCTCCCATTTCATCTGGATACAAACCCTGTGAGATGGTGTTATTATTATCCCTATTCCACAGACAATGAAACTGAGGCCTTGAGAGGCGAAGTGACTTGCCCAAAGATTCCAGATCCTCCAGCCTTCTGCCAGCCACCCTTCTAGCACAGGGCATCGTGCTACCCTACTAAGTCAAACCTGAAAACAGAAGCCCTCAGTGTGCTATTAAATGGATCATGCAGCTTTGGATGCCCTGAGCTGCAGTGGTGAGGTCGGAAGGAAGAGGGGCCTTTGAGGAAAGACGTCCTAGAAGGGCTGGACTGCAGCCGATGGCCCTGCATGGTCAGTGGTCCTGGTCAGCTCCTCCCCCACCCACCCACACCACCATTCTGCCTGGCATTCCATCTGTACTTCCTCCGCAACCTGCCCTCCCCTTATACCACCCATGAAGGCTAAACCCTCCACACCCTGCTTCAGATCACATTGGACCTCTACCTTGTCCATTTCTGTTGGGAGATGTATCAGTTAGGAGTAGAGCTACAAGTGACAGAAAACCCATAATAGTAATGGTTAAAGAGATAGTTAACTTCCTTCTCAGATGAGCAATCTAGGGCTGGTGGGGGCTCCCAGAATCTCAGCTCCTTGGATCTTGTGGCTCCCCCCGTCTTCACCGTACAGCTCCCACATTGTAGACTCAGATGACTTTTTGGTTTAAGATGGCTGCTCAAGCTCCACCCGTCACACTCCACTCCTTCTACTAGGAAGGAGGGAAAGGAACACCGTTTCCCTTTATAGATACTTTCCAGAACTTGTACACACCACTTCCACCTACCTGGCACTGTCCTGAACCTACTCATATACCACACCTAGATTCAAGGACAGTTAGGATATGTAGTCTCTATTCTGAGTGACTTTGTGCATTGAGAGGAAATAGAAGTCCCAGACACAGGGGCTCTGCCTTATTTAGTAGGAAAAAACACTGGACTGAAGTTCTGGAAACACAATCCACTTTTGCCACTGTAGGACGGTGTGGCCTTGGACAAGCCCCTTCCTCCTCTCTGGGCCTCCATGCTCTCTCTAGAGTGAGGGGAGGTGGTCGAGATCATGTCTGCCCTTCCCACCATGGCCTGCTGTACGTGAACCGGTTGTGGGACAGAGGAGAACAGACGCCGTAACAGCCCCAGTGTGCATTTCCTCAGCAGGACTCCCCCCAGGGCCACCAGTGGAGACCGAGGGTGACATCCAGAAGACCTGGCCCACAGCAAAGCCCCCAGCCCCCCTTCTCAGAGCAGCAGGTGTGTGCCACCCCGTGAGAATGACCACCTCCCCTTTCCGCTCATCATTTCAGCTGTTCGGTTGTTTCCTGGCTTGGGAGACGCGCAACGTCAGCATCCCTGCCCTCAATGACAGCAAGTACATTGGGATGAGTGTCTACAATGTGGGGATCATGTGCATCATCGGGGCCGCCGTCTCCTTCCTGACCCGGGACCAGCCCAACGTGCAGTTCTGCATCGTTGCCCTGGTCATCATCTTCTGCAGCACCATCACCCTCTGCCTGGTGTTCGTGCCCAAGGTACGGCCCACCCCCTGCATCCTGCCCTCTGGCCTCCAGCCCTGCACAGGGGACTGCTGGCTTCCTCCGCTTTCTAGCCATTTTATGCTTTCTCTACTCGGGATGATTACAGTTCACATCATGGAAAGTTTAGAAAATGCAAACAAGTAAAAATCAAATTTTCCAGAAATCTCAGGGTCTCACCACCCAAAAACAATCACTGGTAACGTTTTGTTTTAGTTTTTTACGAAACTACATATTTTTGATGTGTTTACTTCCAGTCTTTTTTTTTTTTTAAGATTTTATTTATTTATTTGAGAGAGAGAGAGCAGGGGAAGGAGCAGAGGGAGAGGGACAAGCAGACTCTCCACTGAGCGCAGAGCCCCAATGCAGGGCTCGATCCCAGGACCCTGAGATCATGACCTGAGCCAAAATCAGGACTGAGCCACCCAGGCACCCCCCACCCCGCGGTCTTTTTTAAATGGTTAGGCAGTGGTGCCTTCTCAGTTACAGCTGTGATTAAACCCACATATCGTTTTGTAGTTTGCCTCTTTCACTGTGAATTTCTCCGTCATAACCACCACTGACGGGGGATGTTCCATGTTTTCTTGTCCACTCAATTCCCTTACTGATGAGCATTACAGTTGTTTCCAGATTTTTTATATTATAAATGAACTTATTTTCTCTACATAACACATGATCCCCATTTCTGGCTACACCCTTCAGATGGAGCCTCAGAAGTAGCATTAGTGGGTAAAAAGGAATAAATAACCACTTTTAACAGCCACTTACACATTCCATTCATCTGAAGCCCTGACCTTCAAGACCAGCCCGAGAGGGTGTTTTTCAAACCTTATCCTTCCCAGCAGCGGGCAGGTGAACCAGAGGCCTGGGTATCTTGGGAGCCCCTGCAGTAGGCTGGTCTCAGCATCAGAGAAGAACGGGAAATAGAGAGGGTGGGAGGAATTATTGGCCCAAGTGGGGTAGGGTGTGCCTTGGAGTACGGGGGAACGAGAGATCAGTCGGGGTCCACTGTGCCCTAAACAGACGGCCCATGGCACCTCCATGCAGTGAGTCACCAAGCGGTGACTTCCCTGGAGCACTGCTACCCTATATGCCTGCCTTCTCTGCTTGTCAGCGCGTGCCCAGGCTCCAGGCCACTGCCAAGACCTCTCTGCCTGCACTCTGACATTCTCTCACTCTGGTCAAAGATGCCGGATGCCTCCAAGCCCAGCCCTGACCCTGTCACTCTTCTCTGTCACCCTCAAGAGCTCCTCATTGCCCTCCTGGCTCCAGAATCAAGTCCCCGATACCAGGCTGCCTTTTAGGACCCTTGAGTCTCCTCCAGTCTCCCCAAAGAACCCTGCCCACCATCCAGACTGCCCTTCTCCCTAAGTGCCCTGAGCTCCAGGCCCCCTTGCTTTCCACATGCCCCTTCTTCCCCCCTAGAATTCCCTTCCCTCACCATCCTTCGGGCCCTCCACAGAGCCCAGCCCAGGCCCACAGCACCCACAGCCCAGCCTGCCCTCAGTACTTCTGGGCTCTGGACCGTGGGGTCCTGGAGGACAGGGGCCCTGCCTCACCCAGTCCCTGCTCTCCAGTCCAGGCCCAGAGCCTGCCTCAGACCAGAAGTGTTTCTTGAATAAATGAGTGAGATGAGGATCAAGTAGCAGCCTTTTCTCTTCTACAACAATGCTTTTGTCCATGACTGAGCTAGTCACAAGTCTCCTCAACACTCACCAATGGTTCTAAGAAGCAGAAGCCTTCCCTTGCCTCTATCCATTGTCTTCCAGTGTCACCTCGGGGTTATTTTCCATGTGGAATGAGGCCCAAGGTAGAGTGAGGCTCAGCTGGAATCAGGCCCGAGAGGCGCTGGTGGGCTCCGAGGGGTGGTTGGGATACAGGTGGAGTCAGGATCAGGAGACCAGACTTCTGCTGACGAAGAAGGAAACTGAGACTCAGCATGGGGGGGGGAGGGGCCTGCCCAAGGTCAGTGGCAGAGACAAGCCTGAGCCCAGGGCTCCGGGCTCCCAGCCTGGGTCCGTGTTGCCTCCAGCACAGGACCTGCTGTGGCGGAGTAGATGGGAGATTGTAGGGGGAGGACCCCGCGCTTCTCTTTTCAGCCATACCTTGTCCTTTCAGCTCATCACTCTGAGAACAAACCCAGATGCAGCAACCCAGAACAGGCGATTCCAGTTCACTCAGAATCAGAAGAAGGAAGATTCTAAAACGTCCACCTCAGTCACCAGCGTGAACCAAGCAAGCACGTCCCGCCTGGAGGGCCTGCAGTCTGAAAACCATCGCCTTCGAATGAAGATCACCGAGGTAGCTCCCCCAGTACCAGCAGCCAGGGCCCCAGCCTCCCAGTTGCATCCGTCTGCCTCAGGGCAAGACTTCTCAGGGCTGCCACTCCCGACCTGGACCCCCCACCCTGGGACACCCCCTGCATCAGGCTGTGCAGTCCCATGTGCTGGGGTCACAGCCGAGAGAACAAGCGGGGCCATAAACTAGACAGAGGCAGTTCATCGGAATCCGCTCACCTGGCCCAGGCTCGTGGAGGCCAGACATGCCCCGATTCCAGACATCCTCAGAAAGAAAGTTCCTGAAGATTTGTGAGCTCCCAGATTATAGGAGCTTCCTAAGTGTGCGGGGACCCCCCACCCTTGATTTTTCACTCTCCCAACCCAAAAACCGCCCTCATCCATATGATGTACAGCAAGACAGGAGGGAGTAAAGAGAAACTTCCAGGGAAGAAGGTTTGCTGAGACCTCACTGTTGTCTTGAGGGTCCTTAACTGGTTCTTCAGCATTCCAGAGAGGCCATAACTAGATTTCTCTAAGCCAGACCTCCAATTCTGGACTTTCTATACCTGGAATGGGGGACCAAATTACCTTCCCCTTCTTCCCCTCTGTCTTTGGGTCCAGAGGTGTGACTGGCCCATGATCTGCAGGCTGCATGTTTCCCAGAGAAACCCTCATTTGACGAGTGGAATGGGGAAGACACAACGAAGAGCATGTTAGGATAACTTGCTAAGTTGCTGTAACAAAGAGACCCCAAAATGAAGTGGTCCAGAGAAAATATTTCTCTCTCACCTAATGGTCCTGAGGAGATGGGTCCTGGCTGGCCAGCAGCTTTGCCTCCATGGCCATGACTGGATGAGGCTCATTCACTCCTGCTCTCTGCCACTCCCCAAGCTGCACTCCTCACCAGGACGGTTAAAGCTGAGAGGGGGAAGGCATGTCCTGTTCTCAGTCACAGGAGGGGAAGAAGAAGTCCACACAAGGGATGAGCAAGTGGTACAAAAATTGTGCGCCTTTTGGGTCTGCTGCAGTCACCTTGGCAAGAACTTGCATGATCACACTTAGACACAAGGTAGGCTAGGAAATGTGCTCTCTACTGTTGAACCGGGAGGAAGAAGTGAGATACAGGGTGCCCCAGGGAAATTTGAATTTCAGGCAATCAAGCATACTTTTAGTATGAGGATGGCCCATACAGTACTTGGGATCTACTTGCACTAAAAAAAAAAAGATTCATCATTATCTGAAATTCAGGTGGGACTGGGCATTCCATATTTGTATTTGCTAGATTCCAGTAGCCTTTTGGGGAACTCACATTAGTCTGTCACAAAGATCCACTACACAATTGTCTGTGCACCTAAACCTGATTGCTTTAGGATGGGATAGCCCCCCACTGGTCACCAGAGCAAAGTAGAAAAGGTTTCTGTCCCTCAAAGCCCATTGCTGATTTCCGTTTTAATCTCAGACCTCTCTCTGACTAGAACGACCATGACTTGACATTTGACTTCTACTTGCACACTCCAGCAATAAAAGGTTCACTCACTTCAGGAAACCTGAAACCGAAGCCATTGTCAAAATCCATAAAATGCTGGGTGGTTTTTCCTGGACTCGAATCACAATCTGGCCTCCTTTGCTCCTAGTCCTGCTGTTTGAGTCACACAGAAAAAGGTCTCTCTCTCCTCCTCCACGTGAAAATGCATTTAAAAATTAATGGCTGTGCTCTTGACATCAGAACAACACTTTACAGTTTATAACTTCCTCTCCCTTATGCTATAGTAGAATGTCCACTGCCTTTCCCAGTTACCACCCCTCCCCAACACACACATGCACGCACACACACGTGCACACACACACGCACCAGGCTTCTCAAGGGCTAAACTGCCCCAGGGCCTGCACCTGACTTTTCTATAACTGAAGGCAGCTGCAGTCCATCCTCTAGAGGAGCCCCTCCTGTGCTAAGCTTCGGTGTCCATGTGAGGCTCACAGCTGACTGGCCCACAGATCTGTCCTCCCCTGCAAGAGTGCTGCTAGGTATCAGTAACAATAATTATAGTACTTTTACTATAGTGGCGGGTTACTCTTACGATGTGTCAAGGATTGGGCTAAACTTTCAGTGCATTGCCTCGTTTAATCTCCACAGGAACCACAAAGGTAGTTACTGTTGTTACCACATTGTACAGATGAAGGCGTTGAGACTCAGTCTCACAAGCCAGTGCACAGACAGTAAGGGGCAGCCTGGGTTTGCCCCAAGGCCTGTCCAACTTCAGAGCCTGCGCCCTGCCTGGCACTCTCCCGCCCTGCCTGCCCGGGCTCACCCAGCTGCTCCGCCAAGGCGCCAGCCTGCCCTGAACACATCACTAGAGCGGCCAGGCCCCTCCCCTCCCGGCCCCTCCTGCACAACAGCCAGCAGGGGCCCTCCGCAGCTCTTCCCCAGCAGGCAGCAGCCTCTCTGGCTCTGGGCGCCCTCCCGAAGCCCGCCCGAGGCCCAGTCCCGTGACCCTGTGAGCTGGGCTGAAGGGGCTGGGCCCTGGGGCTCTAACTCAGCTGGAGCCTTTGCCTTCTAGCTGGATAAAGACTTGGAAGAGGTCACTATGCAGCTGCAGGATACACCAGAAAAGACCACCTACATTAAACAGAACCACTACCAAGAACTCAATGACATCCTCAACCTTGGGAACTTCACTGAGAGCACAGGTAGGAGGAGGCGGGGTCCCTGGAACGTGGGGACCTGGGTATCAGACAGCAGCTGGCCATCTTCCACTTTACCGAGGAAGGAATTGAGGCTCAGAGAGGGGGTGGGGCTGACCTGAAGCCACACAGGCAGAGCTGGAGCACCTGGCATCCACAGTTCGGGCTCCGTTTGGGGTACTACCCTGCCTAGAGCCGGGGCTTCTGTCCCTCGGTCTCTTGGGTTCCAGTGGCGCACGTACATGACATGGCCAGCATTCCCGGGGTTCTGATTGGGGTACAGTGTTCTTAGTGAAGAGTTTACCTTACTTCTCCCAGTGACATTTCACGGTTTCAAATGTGCCTTCTCGATGTATGGGAACGGAATGGTCAGTAAGCTATGACATGACACTCTATCTCACCAACCACTTGGGAAATGCAAGCCAAAATAACACAGTCTGGTTTTTGCCTACATTTCAGCAAAATTTTCAAAGATCACCGGTGTTGTTAAGAGTGTGTAGAAATAGGCATTCTCCTGCAATGTTCTGGAAGTCAGTCGGGCACATCCATATGTTAGATGTTAAACCTCTTTTTTTTTTTTAAAGATTTTATTTATTCATTTTGAGAGAGACAGAGCACAAGCAGAGGGAGAGGGAGAAGCAGACTCTCCGCTGAGCAGGGAGCCCGATGCGGGGCTCGACCCCAGGACCCCAAGATCACGACCCAAGCCAAAGGCCTAACCATCTGAGCCACCCAGGCGCCCCTAGATGTTAAACCTCTTAATTAACAACTCCATTAGCAAGATCTTGCCCCTGGGAAATACTCCCACGTGGGTGAAGATGTATACACGTGGTGCTCATCATGTTATTGTAGGGGAGAAAAACTGGAATTAATGTTCATCGTGTAGGGCAGTTTCATTCATTATGACACAATCAAATAAGGCACATAATACAGCTATTAGAAAATGGGATGGATCTGGGGCACCTGGGTGGCTCAGTCGGTTAAGCGGCTGCCTTCAGCTCAGGTCATGATCCTAGGGTCCTGGGATCAAGCCCCACGTCGGGCTCCCTGCTCAGTGGTGAGTCTGCTTCTCCCTCTCCCTCTGCCTGCCTCTCTGCCTACTTGTGCTCTCTATCTCTCTGTCAAATAAATATATAAAATCTTTAAAAAAAAAAATGGGATGGATCTATCTGTGCAAATATGGAGAGCTCTCCAAGTGAAAATAACAAGATGAAGGCTAGCATTATGATATACATAAATGCACACACACATGCACACGTCTGTGTGTGCGTGTATTAAGTGCAATTTTTTTAAAGGTTTGGAAAAACAAACACCAAATTGTTAACAGTATCCACCTGTGTGAAAAGGAACACTGCAAAGTGAGAAAGGATTCCTTTGACATTTAATATACTTCTCTGTTTGCATTTTGTCAGCATTTGTTCATTAATTTGCTATAAAATTATTTTTTAAATCAATGAAAAATCTTTAGGTTTTTTTATAGTTTCTTATAGAAGTCATAAGTATTATTATAAAAGCAAATTATAAAATTCTTACTATATAAGTTGATTGCAAAAAGTTTGAATTGAGATAAGTAACAAGTAAACTGAAAGAATAAAAATTATTCACAGTAATGTAAGTATCTGGTAAAGATGGACATTTCAAATTAGTGGAGGGAAATGAATTATTCAATACATTTAATGGGGATAAGTGCATAGCCATCTGGAAAAGAATAAAGTTAAATCCCTATGTCACACCTTACACAAAAATAAAGTCCAGATGGATAAAAGATTTAAATGTAGAAAGTGAAACCATGAAAGAACTAAAAGAAAGCACAGAAAGCACAGGAGAATTTTTTATATATATATATATAATCCAGAGAGAGGAAAGCCTCTCTCAGCTTGATGCAAAACACAGAAACCACAAAAGAAAAGGTTGATAAATTTAACTATAAAAAATTTTTTTAACAATACAAACCCATCATAAGTAGTCAAAAAATCCAACAAACCAAGCCAAAAAATATTATAACTCAGGTAATGAGCTTATTTTCTTAGGTATAAGGAGAAATTTTGTATAATTTCTATGACATATATAATTATATGCAAATTAATTTTAAAAAAACCAACAACACAGAAGAAAAATGGGCAAAGGAGAGTTCTCACAGAAGGAAGTGCAAGAGGTTCCTATGTTTATGAAAAGATGCTCAAGCTCACTCTTTATTAAAAGAATGTAGATGAAGGGCACCTGGATGGCTCAGTTGGTTAAGCTAAGCCTCTGCCCTCAGCTCAGGTCATGACCTCAGGGTCCCTGGAATTGAGCCTCAGGTGGGCTCCCTGCTAAGCGGGGAGCCTGCTTCTCCCTCTCACCTTCCCTCTCCCGCTGACCCTCCCCCTCCCCACCACTCATTCTTTCTCTCTCTCTCTCAAATAAATAAATAAAAACTTTTTTAAAAATGCAGATGAAATCTTTAGTGAGATACCATTTTCACCAATGAGACTGGCAAAGACAGATCAAAAAGTTACAGAGAATTTGAGGACACAGTTGGGGGAATAGGCATTCTCAAACTTTGCTGGTTGAAATAGAAATTGTTCTGACCCAGCAGTTCCACTTTTGGAATTTATCCTAAGAATATGCAGTCAGCTCTCATTATTCATGGTGATTGTGTTTGATAAAGTTGCTGTGAATCATGAATTAATTAGTGACTACCGAACCACTGCTCCTGGGGGGAATACAGGGTTTGGTTCCTGCGAGGCTCTCTCGGGTTGACATTTTGGTCAGTCAATACATAACTTTGTTGTATGTGTGTTTCTGCTTGCAGACGTCTTATTTAATATATAGTGTTGATTCATTAACATTGACCTCATGGTCAACAGCACTATAACGCATGCCTAAGTGCAAGAAGGCTGTGATGTGCCTGACAGAGAAAATACACAGGTTAGGGGCGCCTGAGCGGCTCAGTCGTTAAGCGTCTGCCTTCGGCTCAAGTGATGATCCCAGGGTCCTGGGATCCAGCCCCGCATCGGGCTCCCTGCTCGGCGGGAAGCCTGCTTCTCCCTCTCCCACTCGCCCTGCTTGTGTTCCCTCTTTCGCTGTGTCTCTCTCATCAAATAAATAAATAAAATCTTTAAAAAAAAAAAATACACGGGTTAGATGGGCTTCATTCAGGCATGCGTTATAGTGCTGTTGTTGACCATGAGGTCAATGTTAATTTTTCAACACTGTGTGTGTCAGCAAATGACCTTGAAAGCATTAGCAGTATTGATTTGGGGTTACAAATAAATTTTAGTGAGTAGGCAAGTTCACAAATACAGAACCCATGAATAAAGAGGATCCACTGTACTCACATGGGGGCAAAATGACATTCACAAAGTTACCCACTGCAGAAAAACAACTAAACAGCAATGCTCCTGCAGATCCCTCAGGTGGGGGCCAGGTTTTTATATTTAATATTTCTTTAAATCTCCTTAGATGGTTCTGAAACTTAGAGGGTTGAAAAAGCATCCACATCATCGCATTTTGTGGCTACACAGTATTTCTTTGAATGGAGCCCCCATACATACATGAGTATGTAACAATCTATTATTACTGGAAAAATTCAGACTAGTCCCAACTTTTTTATATTATAAACAATGCTGATTTGAACATCTTGTGTATAATTTCACACACACCCTTCATTATTTCCTTAGGATAACTCCCAGAAGTAAAAATTCTGGGTAGAAGATAAGCACTTTTTTTTAGGGTTTGATGCCTATTGACAGTGACCCCCCAGAAAGATTATGCCAATTTATACTCCCACCAGCAGTTTACTGACTATTATTACTCTTTTCTGTCTTTGGCAGTCTTATTTTTTACCTTGGAGGGTTATTTCCTTTGTCATTACATTCCTGCGCACCCGTGAAACAGGCCTTTATGTTAGAACTTTTCATTTCCAAGTTATGTTACTTACATTGGTTGACTTGATTTCCGCCCCCCCTTTTTTTCTTGGAGAAAGGGAATCCCCAGGATGCCATTTCCATCCTTGGGTGGAAGCTTTTGGGTTCACTGCCTTCGGCCCAAGAGAGGTACTGCAAAAACCACAGCTCTGGAGGGATAATAGGCTCTTTTTTTTTTCCCCAAATTTTTTTTTTAATTTTATTATGTTACTCACCATACAGTACATCATTAGTTTTTGATGTGGTGATCTACAATCCATTGTTTTCGTATGACACCCAGTGGTCCATGCAGTACGTGCCCTCCTTAAGGGTATTAAGGAGGACACGTGATGGGATAATAGGCTCTTTTGCATTCTCTCTCCTTGGGCAGCATCCTAGAAAGACTGCATTTTTTTTTTTTTTAAATGAAGTTAACAGAATGTGTTGTGATCTTGTTATTTTGCATTCAGATGGGGGAAAGGCCATTTTAAAAAACCACCTCGATCAAAATCCCCAGCTACAGTGGAACACAACAGAGCCCTCTCGAACATGCAAAGATCCTATAGAAGATATAAACTCCCCAGAACAGTAAGTACTTTCTCCTTGAGAATTATTGCGGAAGAGCGTGTTACTCCTGCACAGCAATTTCGATCTGCACCGCGTTTTTGCGTGCGTTATTTTATTTGAACCCCACTGCAACCCCATGATACAGGTCAAATTACAAGGCTCATTTTACAGATGAGAAAACGAATATTCAGAAAGGGCAGGTGACTTGTCAGTGCTCCCCCAGTTTCTAAGTGAAGGAGATAGGATTTGAACCCAGGTCTGTCCACCATCAAGCCCACTGAGGCACAGTGCCTTCATTATATATAAAATTTAACCACTCCACAACTATTCACTGACACCTACTGTGTGTCAGACAAGGAAGTGAAAAAAAACAGACAAAAATCCCTTCACAGAGCTTATATTCTATCCGGTGACACAAGAACTTCATTAAAAAAAGCAAAATCTAGTGTATTACATCATAGGTGCTTCGGAGAAAAATAAAGCAGGGCAAGGGGTGAGGGATTGTAACCTTAAATAGAGCGATCAGCAGCGATTCAGTGAGAAGGTGACATCTAAGCTCTGTTAGCTGTGTTCCCACTGGCAATTGTTAGATCTTCCTTGCTTATGGCAGCTTGGAAGCAGAGGTCAGAAATGTCAACACTGGTGGTTCCGTCGGTTAAGCGTCCAACTCTTGATTTCGGCTCAGGTCATGATCTCAGGGTCGTGGGATCAAGCCCTGCCTTGGGATTCTCTCTCTCCCTTTGCCTCTGCCCCTCTCGCTCTCTGAAATCTTAAAAAAAAAAAAAGAAAAGAAATGTCAACACTGAAACTTGCTCCCTGGAAAGCGACAAGCAGCAAAGACAGCCCAGTCACCAACTGTAGTGTAATTTGGGGCCATTTAGTGTTAGAGCCAATAGCTTCTCACCCCAGTTAGCTCTAAGGCTTCATTGGCTTACACTCCAGAATAATTATTATGGCAGTTGTCAGTGGTTTGCTTATTAGTACCCTCCGCTAGAGTGTAAGCACCTTGAGGATAAGGGGTGAGCCCCTCCCATGTCCCTTGGACTGAATGCAGGCTCCGGCACTGATAGGTTTTTGGCAAACGTCTATTAAATGAATGACAGTGTAAACAGGACCCCACTACCAGACAGGAAAATGCCACGGCTCTGAGAGCCACAGACAGATGTCCACCTGGCCCAGGCCCATAGCCCTTCCCAGGTTAGAGTTTATTCTCCAGCCTCCCTTTACCTGGACTCTTTGCCAGCACCCTCTTGCATTAAGGAGTCGATCATAGCTCAGGTTACACACACAGGTTCAACCTGAGTTTCAAAAGGAGAGCTCCAACACGCTAACCTCATGAGCACCTGTGAGGTGTCCTTGGTAGAAACTCTCCAAGGCACAGGTCCTTCGGGGGAGGGGGACAGCATTGCGTCTGTCCCCATCCATCTTGGGATCCTTCAGTGCCATGCATACACACCAGGGGCACACCTGTTGGGATGAGGTGACCCCTGTGAGTTGATTTGCCCTCCTCGCAAAGCACTGTGGTTCCCCAGAAGAAGCAGGAGACGCACCTTCCCCAGTTCTGGCTTTGTTTCCATTAGCAAGTTACTTAAACTCTGTACCCTTCCCTAGTCATTATAGTGGGACTAGCAATACTTCTTTTACCTACTGGGTTTTTGTGAAGATCTGGGGGTGGGGGGAAGGTCCTCACCTGACCGGTCAGGCACTGAGGACACAGGAGGATACCTAAGGATACCAAGACTGCAGCTTCCCGGGTACAAGAGAGAACCACACAAGATGCAGCTGGGCAGAGCACAGCCCCCCCAACACACACACACTGCCAGGAGTCACACACCACTCCTGCCTCCGTCCTGCCTCAGGCTTTTCTGGCTGTGCTTCTGGAATTTACCCAGAACTCTGGGAGCTCAGAGGACGACGGAGCCCTCTCTGAGGAGTTTAAACTGGATAGTGAAGGGGAAACAGGTAGGAGGTAGAGAGAGTATTCCAGGCTGGGGGAAGAGCAGGTGCAAAGGCAAGGAAGAGTTGGCCCTGCTAAGCAGTGATTTAGGGGAAACTAGCCGCCTGAGGGTAGGTTTTGGGTGGAGAGTGGGTAGAAGTTTCACCTGGAGAATTAGGCAAAAGATCGTAGGCAGCCCTGCATGTACTGCCCCAGAGTTGGAAAGATAACACTAGTCACCAAAGAAGCTGAAAGACCAGGAAGGAATTTCTGCTGGAATCAGCCCAGCAAGAAGGGCTGAGGTCCTGGGCAAGGCAGGGGCAGAAGGGCCAATGAGGAAGGCCAGAGCAGCGAGAAGCCTCTCAGTCCATTTGGAGGCTCTCGAGAGTAGAGTGAGAACTGTCTGTGTCAGCAGCAAAGCCCCGTGAGATGAGCAAAACCTGTGCTTAGGAATGGCCACACTCTCGCTCAGGAAGACTGCGTCCCCTTTGCTTAGTCCATCTCCCTGGTTATTCCCAGGGCAGTCATTGGCAGGTGTAGGCCCGCATTAAACACCTGCTAGGTGGGTGAATGGTTAGATGATGGGATGGACAGATCTTGGATTCGGGATAACCATTCTCCCACCATCAGCTTCTTAGCCAAAGCGAGTCCCAGGAACATTCTGGTGAGCAGCCAGGTAGCCTTCACTAAAACTCCTCTCGCCCCCTCCCTCCCGCGCCCTCTCTCTCTCTCTCTCTCTCTCCATGCTACAGCATCCAGCGCCGGCTGTCCCTCCAGCTCCCCATCCTCCACCACGCCTACCTGCCGTCCATCGGAGGCGTGGACGCCAGCTGCGTCAGCCCCTGCGTCAGCCCCACCGCCAGCCCCCGCCACAGACACGTGCCACCCTCCTTCCGAGTTATGGTCTCTGGCCTGTAGGGGTGGGAGGCCTGGGGCCGGGGCCTCCCCCATGACCGAACCTCACGGAGCAGAGGCCACGGGAACACTGTCAGCTCTGGCTGCGGAGCCGCTGGGCGCCACGGCTGGCCTTGTGGGGCTGCTCGGTGGCACTCACGTGGACAGGATGGGGGCACTTGGCACCTGACCTCGCGCCTTATTTGTGAAGTTTTTATTCTTTCACAAAGAAGAGGAGTGGAAATGACTTCTTCCTCGATGTCTGCAAAGAAGGAGGAGCTGGGATATTTGAAACTTTGCAAAAAACAAAACAAAACAAAACAAATCCTAGACAAGGAGAGAATCACTAGAACTCCAGCTAGAAGTCACCGAGTGTCCCTGAGCAGCCTTGAGAAGAGGCGAGGGGCTTCTGGAGAAACCGCCTCTGCCTCTGCACACACATCCCTGGCTGTGCCCCTCCTCCCCGCCCAGGCCAGCCCCCCTGCCCTCTGGGGAAGGAGGTGGGCAGGGCAGCCAGGCAGGCCCCCAGCCTTCCTGGAACAGGGAGTCTGCAGGGCAGCCAGGTGGCCCGAGGGCTGGGGTACGGGAGCAGGCTGACTCCCATGCCTCCCGGTGGGACCTTACTCTCTGATAAATGCCACACGTTAACACAATAACACCCGTTCCAGGACCGTGGGGATTTAGGGCACGTCACTGCAGACCCGCTCTGCAGCATTCACCGACAGTCGGTCATGCACCCACCACGTTGGCCATGTCCTTGTGTTTGTATCAGGTGTTCCAGTAATCAGGGGGACCACCCGAGCTAATCATGGAATGTCTGTTCCCAGCAAACACGCTAAAGAAAGACTGTGCACTTTAACCTCTCATCAGGGCCCAAGGGCTGGCTGGGGTTGGTTTTTTTCCCACTGACTTTGTTTCTGACCAAAGTGAATCAGGCATTCTGCTAGAAGACATCCCTGTAGTCGTAGGGAGAGAGTTGCTAGCCGAGGGCTCTCCTTGGCTTCCCCAAGGTGGCCTTGCATCTGGACAAGCCGGGGAGCTCGCCCTTGGGGGTCACAGGGGTGACCAGTCAACACACTGGTTCTCATTCATAAGATCACTCTTCCCTCTCAGCCGAACCCCAGAGAGCACTGGCCTGGGAGTCAGACGAACCTGGGCTCAAGTCCTCACTCCATGGCTGACTCCCTCCATGACCTTGGGAAAATCACTAGTGTCTCTCTGAGCCTCCGTTTCCCCTCCCCAACAAATTGGGGTTGAAATAACCCCCGTCCTGCCTACCTCACAGGGTCGCTCTGAGGATCAAAACTTGATCTTGTCCGGGAAAGCTTCGTACCAAACCATGAAGCAGCCCTGACCCGTGAGAAATCAGGATGACCATGACCTTCGGCCCTCACGACCACCAGGGGTTTGGCTCAGAGAAGCTCCCAGCACAGCCCTCTACCAAGATAACCTGGTGGAGAGAGGCTCCCAATGACTTTTGTGACATTCCTAGACAGGTTCCTTCTTTGCTAAAGAAAGGCCTGAAGGACAGCGTCCAGGACGTCTGCACAACTGAGCGGTTGCTCACTCCCTAAAGAAACCTAATGGCAGCTTCAACAGGCAGGCAATAATCTCTTCCCCGACCACTGAAGTCAGGAATATACTGCTGTCACCACCAGACTTTGACAAAAGGGCCCACAGGAATCCTACCATCGCCAACATTTCAAAAACACCCTATTTCACGTAGCATAGCTTCCCCCTCCCCTCCCCCCAAGAGAGGTTATGGAGGTACTGTAGCTTTTAGGGAAAAAAAAAAATGTCAACACATCACAGGTCAAATTGAAGTCATTGTCTGTTTTAGGCACTACAAATCGGTGTTGTCACTCACTGTGTATTACCAGTATTGACTTGCTTTCTTGATTTCACCAAAACCAGATTTAATTTAAAGGACCACTTAATTTTTCCAAGGGAAGGAGACAATTCATTGTACATAATGTATACACACACACACACACACACACACACACAAAATATACCTGTAGAAATATTATTCCAGCATAACAGGAAACAGAAACGAAAAAGTATTGGACAGTCGGAGGTGAGTGTGTGCGTCCGTAACCCGTTGTGACCCCTGACCGTGCTCAGTCTTCTAGGTTCACCCACGAAGTACATTTTCTGTCTTAATGATACTGTAGGTTTTCCCATTTTTTTTTTAATTTCCCTGCAAATAACAAGACCCACAGAAGTGACTCTAGCTATCTAACGGTTCTTTTATATGCAGCAAACACACCGTACATTTCCGAAGAGGCTTCAGCCTGAAGGCATTTTCCAGTGACGTTAGTGCACAAATGCTTTAAATTAGACCGGGACTGCCAGAATCAAATGTAAATGAGGAATTTCTCGTACCCCTATTGCATGGTATCAATTTTTAATAAATTGTTGCAAATTTGTTTTTATGAATAAAAGGGAAAAAAAAAAAACCGTCCTCTTTAATGCCTCCTCGTCCCAACATGCAGGTCTGAGCAGGTCTTATTCCTCTGCTCAGCAACTCGGGGGACAGTTCTGGGGTGCCTCCTCAGCATCCCTCCCTTCTGCAGACGGTAACAGAGCAGCCCCGTGACCATGTTACCCCAGCTGCTGGATCCCACAGTGGGGACCTGACCCGAGCCCGGCCAGTATGTCCCTTCCCCAGGATTCCTCCACATAAGGAAATTTAGCCGTGAAAGAGAAAAGGGAAGCCGATATGGAGAGAAATAGGATCAAGAGATGGGTCCTGATGGTGTCTGAATAGCTGGTCAGCTGTTCCTGAAGGGTCCTCCCCCTGCTGGGAAGGGTTCTCAGTTCTCCAAATAAATCACCCTTTTTGCCTAGTTAAGTTCAAGTCCAGTTCCCATCTGTTGCAAACAAGAAGTCTCTAACTAACCCAGAAGCCTCACCGCTGCCCAGGCCCAACTCCCCCTCCAGGCCTGACAGCCTGTGGCTTGGCCCCATTCTCCTTTTGAGCCTCCTCACCTAGAGAATGCATTTCCTGCACCATGATGGGCCCTCAGCCTACAGCTCCATCTCAAATCCTGCCATCCTTCAAGGTCCCATCCAAAACACCCTCCTAGATCCCTCCACGTGAAATTCTCTCTTCTTTTCTGTACTCAGGACGCTGTCTCCCTCTTGTGGCACTGGGTACATGCTCATGCTGGCCCCTTCTCCCCACCCCAGGCCAGGGGCTCCCTGAGGATGGGAGTCCTATCTGCCTCCTCCATGTCGCACCCAGCAGCAGGCCCTCCCAGTGGCTCAGAACAGTCTTCCTTGAGACTTTCGCATAATTAAACATTTTGGCTGAGGCCCGATAGAACCAAGGCAAGGTGGCCAAAGCAGGCTGGGGAGGCCCGAGGCCATGTGAAGGCACGCAGGCCCCAGAAGAGGGGGGCCTGGCCCCACAGACTTCACTGGAAGGCTGGTCCCAGGTAGGAGCTTTCTAGTGCCGGATCCTCAATGATGAGCCTGCCGAGAATCAGACCTCTTGAATCCTGGCCTGGAGAGAACTCTGCTCCATGACATCTAGGTTATCTAAGTACCAGGCAACACTTTATCCCACAGAGCCATAAATCTCAAAGATCCTGAATGCAAAAGTAGAAATCTTAGAAGGCGATACCAGTAGCCAGTAACACAATGGTCACCTGGATCACAAAAGCAAGTGCACACTCAGAGCTTTGGAGGGTAGTGAACCTGGAGGAGCTGCTGGCCTGCAGACTCCGGTGGTGGTGAAGAGCTACTGGCTTGGCCCTCTTTGCTCTTGATGTCTTGGCTGCTATCTCGACTCCGGTTCCTCACATCTGTAACTGGAGAGTTCCGGCACTCATGGTGAGTTAGGGCTCTGTGTCAAAAGGAAATACCTTGGATTTCCCTCCGTCTTAATTCCAATGCAAAGCCCCCAGAGCAGTGTTTCTAAAACTGACCACTGGCTTTTAAGACACAGTGTCGACTTGAATTGTTTTTATAAAGTTACCTAAATTTGTGCAAACTAAATATAAGCTCATGCTTGCATCTTTCATATAAAGGCAAAACAAATTTACAACTTCAATGCAAATAAAATGACAAAACCAATAAAAATCATATTAACAACACTGATTTGATGGGATAGATGAGGTTTTTGCAGAAAAATAAATTGCAGCTCACAACAACAGCACAGCACCAACCGCTCCCGGGCACACTCCTTTGAGCTCAGCCTGCCTGGTGTGATGACTCAATTATCACACTGCTTTTCTTTATTTAAACCACTGTGAAAACTTCATTTATTCGGCACTCCATGATATCATTTGGCCTTCACTTGGCTCTCACACATCACTTCTCTCTGTTAAATCCACCTTTGTGTTTTTCTCATGAGCCATTGACAGAGATGGGGCTGCCCAGATAATACACACAAATCAAATGGTGATTGCACGCTAATGTTCGCTGAGCACTAGGTGAAGTGCTTTGCGGGCATAATCTCATTCAGATCTCACGGGGACCCCAGAGTAGGAACGATGATTGCTGTCCTTTTGCAGCTAAAGGCACTCAGGCACAGAGGACGAGTGCTGTCCTGAGTCACACAGCTGAGACTGGGGGCGGGGGGGGGGAGGAATTTGAACAGGGATAGCCCCAGAACACATCCTCTTCACCACTTCCTTAAACTGCCTCATCAGAAGTAACTGGATTCCGATGACCCGGAATATGCCTATTTAATTTGTTTTAGATTATCTTGAAATAAAAGTACAATCTTGTTAAATTTTATAGATTTGCACACCTCTGGGATTCATCCATGGCATCACCTGAGACTCTAAACCCAGCCTGAGCGCCTCTGGCCTGGACAATGTGAGCATGGGGATCCTTCACTGTACTGAAATGCAGGCAAGCCAAGAGACAGAACTCTGCCCAAGTTGCCCATTGCCCAGATCCACCCCCCAGCCCCCAGCCCTGATCGCTGAATCAGCGCCCTCAGGCCTCCAAGATCTAGCAAGACTCTGCCAGCCCAGGGCAGAGGAAGCAAGATGGAAGATGCTCACCCTTCTGGGGAGAAATGCCAGCCTTGGATATGATATTCACTGCTTTAAAATGATCAGGCTGATAAAAAAAATGGAAAATAACCAAATACTATCAACAGAACAGGAAAAAAAAGTGATGTATGCACAGAGTGGGATATTATTTAGCAGCGAGAATGGGGAAAAAATTATAACTATGTGTGATAATATGAATGGATCTAAAAAAAACATGCAGACTGAAAGAAGCCAGACATAAAGAGGACATACTGTAAGATTCCAATAATATCAATTTCAAAGACAAGCAAAAATAATCTATTGGACATGAGAATAGTGGTAGTTACCCTTGGTGGGGATGGATAGTGGGAAAGATGGTATGAGGAGGGCTTCTGGGTGCTGGTAATGTTCAAGTTCTTAATCGGAGCACTGGTTACAGGGCTGTGTTCAGTTCACAGAAATTCTTTGTGCTGTACACTTATGCGTGATTATACACATATACATATATGCATATTCAGATAATCACACACATAATTATATATAGTCACATATGGTAAGTATATACCTCCATAAAACATGCCTTTTCCTGGGCAGGAAAAAAAAATCAATGTAGAATCTATGAAGATTCTGCAGCATAAAGACAAATAGCACACAACACGCTAAGCCTGAACGTGCTTTGGGAAAAGTTGTCCTGCAGGACACAGAAGTAAATGTCAAATCTCATTCAATCTATTGTCTCAAGAAAAAAAAAACAGTCAAACCTGGTTTCTGTGACACAGATATCGATTTTTAGATACATTGGGGAGGCAGTGGGCTGAGAAGAAAAGGAGAGAATGGAGAGGGGGAAGGCAGGGAGGGAAGATTCTGGGATCACGGTAGTGTCAGAAGCCCACACATTTAACTCCTCCCCCCTTCTAATTTCTTGCTGCAGTGGCCCATCCCATGGGGGGGGAAGCCATGTGACAATTCTATCTAGACCATTTCTTAAACTAGAGAAAGTGTTTCACCACCCCCCGTCCCCCCAAAAAACTCCGTTTCCACCGCCTGGGAAAGAACCAGGGAGGAGAACACCTACAGGCCAGCCTCGACCCACCACCTGTGGAGAAGGCCACTTGGGAGTAAATTTGAAGTCCGTATTAAGAAAGCCACTGGAATGTTACCAGTTTCTCTGGATTTGGTTTCAGAGCCTCCGCCCTGAGTTCTAAAGACCACCAGAGGTGAGGCTGTATTCTCAATGCAGGACCCGCAGGAAGTCGTGATTTCGTGTGATTTCTGCAGAACAGACCGGCGACATCCACCTTAATTCCCCTCAACCCTGTACATACAGCCTGAAGCTGGGGGCAGGGTGAGCTTTATGGGTCAAAACTAGAGGAAGCAAGAGGATGTGGAGTCCAGAGACCAGTAGCCATCTCTTTCTCATCCCCTGGGAACAGGGTGAACATTAGACAAGTTCTCCTCCCCCATAAGATTAGGGGCACCACATAAGGGACTGACAACGACCGTTAGCTGAAAACTTCAGAACCAGCGGACTGCCTGACGCCCAGGGCTGATGCTCCTGAGGTGTGGAGGAAGGGGCCAGAAAGAGATGGCCCAGCCGAGGAGAGGAGGGGTCCATGGGTGGCCAGTGGCATTCCCAGTGTGGCTTGACAGGAGATGTGGGGTTCCCATGGGGTGACTGGATACTGAGGAAGGTGGTCGGGGGTTCAGTCAGGCTAAGGGAGTGGTCCACCTGTGGTCAGGCTGAAGAGGAAGGAGAAGCCTGAGCCTCCAGAGTAGGCTTCTGTATCTCCTTGCTGTTCTCAGAGCATCCCGAGGCCCCAGGTTAAACACAAACACAGCATGTGTCATCTCCAAGGAAACTCCTTCCCCTGTAGAATCCTTCCACTTTTCCACCTGGCTTTGCAGAAGAGAGATCTTTCTTTTCCCCATCGTCCGCTCTCTTCAAAATAGGTGTCGAAGGGGGAAGATATGACTTAGCAGGACAGATGTCCCCATTTGCTTGGCATCTTGGAGATGAAAGTTACAAGGGGTCTGCATGTATTTCCCTGCCATCATACCTTCAGTTCCAGTCATGCGGTTTCTCAGGGGCAGTTCTGGAGGAGGCGGAACTGGACAGGGACAAGCCTAGAAATCATGTCATGGGGATGCAGTTCAAGGAAGATTTGGGGGCAGTGGGAAAGCATGGCATGACAACGATTACCTTCTGTGGGAAGCCATCACATGTAAGGTGCTGTCTTACTTCTCATTGCTCCAAAGTGACAAAGGAGGACAGACTGCAGTAAATTCCAGGGAGACTATCATGTCTTGTCTCTGCAAACATAATAGTTTGCATAATGGAATAGAGTGGCCACCCCAACTCTAGAAGGGTTCAAATGGGGAGGCTGGAGAGGGACTTCCTCCACTGGGTGAAAGGTTGGAATGCATAAGCCCAAAGACCCGTATTTCAGTGGT